GGCAGTATGGCATAAAGCAGTCTTTGCTTTCTCAGTTTGTCAATTCTTGTATTCTACCCATCCTCCTTTACTGCTCCCCATTAATCTTTCCTGGACCACTCAAGAAAGACTTTACTTTGCTGAGAAGGGCAGGCACTAAAAGCTGTTAGTAAGGCAAGTGGGATATCGTTAAACCAACCGGTTAATACTATTGTGGATAGACATATGTCACGTAAGAAACTGGCGAATATTGTCAGACCCCGAGCTTCCTCTCTATACGCAACTGTCTCCTTGCATTTCATCTAGTAGAACTAGAAGCAGCTATAGGAGGCTATATGCTAGGACTCCACAATACCACATCTGTTATGTGATGAGAAATCCGTTAGGTATGACACGATCAACTTACTGCGGCACTCTGATAAGTAGTCCCATTAGTTTTTGTTTTCCTTTCCTCGTTACTATTTACACTGTTGTTCTTATCTTCTATTACACACCAATTTTATATTTCATATTCTGTGGTGCATTATTTAAAATGTAAACGCAAGGCTGTTCTTTTTATTTTTTATTTATCTTTTTTGGGTGTTGCATTTTGATTTTATCGTAATTCAATCACACCCCTTTTCAGGGGTGTCCAATGGCTCAGCAACAAAAACCTAGTCCCGTCGATTCTTTGCCATCACCTTAAAGTGATTCTAAGACTGTCTACGAGATATCGTTTCTTCTTCACACACAATCTTCCCCAATTTTGACGTCTAATCCACTGTTTTCTATTCGGATGTCACTCAGGGGCCTAGTGTGCGATGTCACCTTGGAAGTCTCATCAGAGCAGAGCAGCTCTAATCTATCTCTATTTCCTTTCACACATTTTTGGGCGGTAGAGACTTCCGGTTGGTTCATTCTCAGGATTTATACTGTCGCTTGTCGTTCCGTACCGGCCATCTAATCTCTTCAGTAGGAAAACAAGATAGCGGTTATAATAAAAACCTTCACCTGCACGTTGGAAATGCTCCCTGTGACACGTGTCAACTCTGTGAATCATGTAGAAGTAAGATGAGAGCTGTCTGCTATCTAAAATTTGTAGACATCAATTTATGTCCTAAATCTTTGCCGTAAGAAAAAAACTAGAACAAAGATGAACTCAACAACCAAACACCACAGACTTAACGTGGGCGAATACGATTCGCAGATATATGCTCTGACCTTCAAAGAAACTGCTAAAAAGAGATGACACAATAACCTACAGCGAGAAAGCAACCAATCAGAAGACTCTGTTCCTCCGCTAATAATAACAAATAATAAGGTATGTAAAAATATATAAATATCTCTTGATTTCCTCAATAAAGTCTCTGCTGCCAGGCCATTGTCTTCTATCCTTACAGAAGCAGTAACTGGACAAGAGTGTGGTAAATTGGGATTCCTGTCTTCCCGATTCTTAGTGTGCTATACGTTCCTTCATAGTCAAAACCGAAAAGAGCATCGACGAGAGAAGGCAGGCAGCAGTGTATTCTGCTGTTTTCATTTCAAATGTGAATTACGTGGCGTGTGCTACCATCATATACATGTAAATAGGGGATTGTTTATGTTGCTGGAACTTCCTAGTATTAAAGCAATGGCCATATCACTCCTCACTAGACGCAAGTGAATGCTCTTCTAAATTATTTGAGGCTTCGAAACAGTACCGAATGCCCATCAGGCTCTGGTCGTCTATGGAGGTGCATAATATCGCTATATAGTCCTCATATGACTTGATTTTCGTGTGACGTGTCCCATCCAGGCTGTCTTTTGATCTTCCCTTGATGATACGGCTTAATTTTTGCTTTAAGTCAACACAAGAATGTTGCCACTCCACAACTTGCATTGGTAGTCAGCCTTTCATTGAGCCTGTAGGTACCCTTCGTTCTTAAAAATACCTTCCGTGGTGGCGTGCTCATGTACACTGGGATGATTCGGTCCGATTTCAGTGCTTCTACAGAGCTCCACTCTATTCTGTTGATTCCTCAGGTTTCAGTGACTTAACGGTGACAAAAACTACTCTTTCCTAAAGGTGTCGTTCACTGTTAACAAAATTATTTGTTGCCACGAATTTATACACACTTCATGATTCTCGGGCAGCTGCTCTAATTACTGACAACTTTCTGTTTGTCGAAGATAATAAATTTGACCATCATACCCAGAATTTCAACGTTTTCGCACTCAACCATGAAACCAGAGATTCTTCCCACATCTGATTACCTGACGTGCTCCTACGAACGCTTAGGTTTCTCACGCCCACTTCTCCGTGTTTTGAAATATCTGCGGATTTTTTCGCGTATTCCAGCGCTAAAAAACAATTAAAAGATATCTGGAGACATCAATGGACCCAAGTCCTATAGATGATTCAAAAAAACAGCATACATCCCCCTGGGATGCATCCTTAATGATGGTTGTGGGATATTACCTTCATATCGATCGTTAAGACCCAATCACTACCTGTACAGCACCAGTAAGTCTGGAAACTTCAGACTTAATAATCTAAGAACTGCATGTGTAATGAAGGTTCGTGAAGTCAGTTCTTCTATATGTGTCGGAGAATTGACGCTCGCAACATAAAAAACATTTCCAACAGGTTACAGACACTGCACACCTTCTGTGTTGACGATCAAACGGCCACAACAAATTGGCAACAAGAAACTCTGGCTGGAAACAGAGCAACCAAGGGCTGGTCGCACAACAAATATTTGAGAGAAAAAAAAGGTGGATTGAGCATACGCTGAGTAATGTAGTTATCTTTTTAAAATTTTAATGGTTTCCTTTGAGATAGTGGTGTTTAACGCAACATAAGAATAGTAGACTATTTGTGATAATAGGATATACGTTGCATAGTGTACTTGAAGTGCCTAGACTACAATTACAAGTCGCGTACGCAAAGAACCTACGTTTAATAGGTTATAATTCATTATCACAGTACAAACACATTCAGCGGCTTTTTTCTCAACAATCCTGAACACTAACCAATATAAGAACAACAACCAGACCAAACCTAACTGAAATACTATACTTGAGAAAATTAAAACAATTAGTCCCTTTGATAAATTTGAATAAGGCATTAAGAAGACAAATTTCGCGAGATGATATCTTCATTTCGTAGTTTCTTTACAACCGCTTTACAACTAACATGGTTAACAATGATAAAATAAAGTTCATGAAAATTACTCAGTTAAATAAAAACAAAAGGTTATTGAAGGTGATGGAAGCACTTTGGATTAATCACATACAGCCTAGACTGTGTATACAAAAAATAATAGACTTCAATCTTCGCCTACCCTGGACTACATGACCTATCTAAATATGATTGGTCACTAGTATGTACTTTTGTTTTTATTCAACTGAGTAATTTTCATGAACTTTATTTTATCATTGTTAACCATGTTAGTTGTAAAGCGGTTGTAAAGAAACTACGAAATGATATCATCTCGCGAAATTTGTCTTCTTAATGCCTTGTTCAAATTTATCAAAGGGACTAATTGTTTTAATTGATATATTTCGTCAATATCAAATCTTATTCATCTCCTGGAAATATCAAATTACAGATTTTATTTCATATAATATTAAAATCGTTGACATTTTAAAAAACGGCGTCTAGAGAACAAAACGATATAGATTGCAATCTATATCGTTTTGACAGCATGCTGTCAAGGCTTTATTATTATTTGTAATTCAGTCAGACTGGGTAAGCAGACATGAGACAAAATGAGACAGGACTATATGAAAGGTTTTGTAGGGATTAAATGCATCAAGAAGTGAATTACTGTAATTATGTGAATATTAATTTTTGCTAAAATGATAGTCCCATCAGATATTACTCCAATTACCAATGGCGTTGTCAGAATTAAAATTCTAACAAAACATTTTGATGTAAAACTAGGGCACTGTAGCATTGTAATTGTACTGTGGTGACTCTAAAGAATAGCGGCCCAAACCGAAACGACCTTTCAGCGCAAAAATGACCTTGACGGGGACAACTTCGTCCAATGAGAAGGCTCAAAAAGAAAGGCGCATAATTGTAAAAAACGGTTTATATAAAAGGAACGCAATCATAATAAACAGTTACAAAGAATGGTGTTCGCGTATATGTTGCAAAAAACCTCCCAGTTTCTCATGGGAGTCTTCATAGTCATACGAAGCCAGTTTCGGTACATAAATTGGTTGGTCGGCTCAAGGTCATTGTGCGTTCGCATTTCTTGGGACTCCATTCTTAAACTTTGCCCATAAATTCACCCAGGTAACTGTAAACCATGGATTTCTCGATCCATTAACCGCTCTTATACGTCTTTTTAGACGACTCCAAAAACTTCACTGGAACTGGTGTGGGTTCCATCCAAAGGATTCCGGAAACCGTCCGTATGATTAACAACATGATGAATGTACCCATGATTCGAAATTGACGGTATTCGCTCCATTCATCTGTATGAATAGTCGTCCCAGCAACACCAAACGCTAATTAATAGGCACTAATGCTGCTGCACTGCGATTGGGAATCGCTTCCATATACCCTTTGCGCAGTGTCGTGTCGTACGACACTCCAAAGAAATTGGCTCTCACGAAATGCACCTTTTATGCAGTTATAACGTGTAAGCTTGTTTTATGTAATTATTTCTTTTAGCCGTCATTGTCAGCAAGTTCGTTTCGGCTACAGTTTCTGATGACGACGTTAAGAAAATTCTAAAAAATACTGTAAAGGCCTACTTCCATGATATACGTGATCGCATAGACAAAAGGGATAGCCGGCGAAGAGTAAGTAAACGTTTCCGGTTGAATTAATGCTACTATAGTAGCATTGCAGTGTATATACACTGCAAACCCTTTCATGTTATAAATACAAATTAACTAAATTGTTTTTTTATTTTTTAAAGGTTGCAGTTGACAATAAGAAAAGTGATCAGAGGATCTCTCCTGTAAGTTACCATTTAAATAAGTACATGCTGTAGAAATCAATGAAACTTAAGGTCTTTAAGTGTGAGTATTTCTATTATATAGACAAATAATTTTAATTATACTCATTAACGAAATAAAATTTAAAACCTAAATGAAGACGTTTAGTATTTCATTATTACAGTGTCATC